GGAGTCAGACTGTCTCTGATGAGTGCCAGATTTTAGCCAGGAGTCAGACTGTCTCTGATGAGTGCCAGATTTTAGCCAGGAGTCAGACCATTTTTAATGAGTGCAAGGTATCAGCCAGCAGTCTGGCCCTTATCTGATGAGTGCCAGATTTCAGCTGTCTGTCTGACTATCTGTTATACGTAGCAGATTTCAGTCAGTACTCTGATTGTAGGTGATAACTGTAGCAGGTTGAGTACTATTGAATGAAGGAGTGGGCGTATTTATACAGGTAAGTGCATTGAAGAGGTATCAGCGTAGAGTATAAGCTTGGCAACTCTACCAGTCACCCTCGGGCCCATTGGAATCGCTCCGATCTGTGCACAGGTGACTATCCCCACGCTGTCTTCACACCTGCGCTGACCTCACCTTGCTATCCGTTGCCATGCCAACCTAGAGAGGATTACTGCAGGCACCGTGCACTCGTGCAGATGGTGATGTGGCACAAGGGTACGGATATCACTCCTCAGCAGCCCTGAGCATGGCTTCCTCTAATAGAAACATAGTACACCTTACCAGGGGACTGTGGGCTCTAACATGGCACCTTTTGGGTGGGGGGGGGGGCACAGTATCTCATATGCAGCGAAGACAGGCTTACTGTAATCATTGGAATTATGTCTTAAACATGTCAATTCAGCGTCATCGCATGTATTGTTTTTCCACATGAAATGTTAGGTACTATTCACACTCAGGAACACTATTTCAGTACAGTATGAGTGAGTTCCATGATTTCACTTGGCACTGCTGTCATGTACACTTCAGCAAGTCATGCAATTTTAATTAGATTGTGTGTGGTGCCCTACGGTGCACAAAAAGAACCAAACACGCGCTAATAACTTTTTAGCATGACGCCATTTACATGTACAGCTGTGGATGTCGATTGCATCATCTGTGAAAGAAGCTAACAGCACTGAGAAGATCCCCTTAGGTATCAACCCAGGTTACTGAACAGCCGGGTAATGGCTGCAAATCAGTAGAATAGCCAGTCTTAATTAGACTCACAAATACGAGGTTTTACACATCCATTAACTTCACGATATGTCTACATAAAATTGCTGGAGCTAATTATACACATGCTTAGTTAGCAAAAATATGGGCAGGTCAGTAATACACACACACTTACACTATACAGGCCAGTCAGCAGCTTTCCATACAGATTTACTGCAAAGCTACATAAAAATGAATTTTAAAATAAAAAAAAAAATACTACGTACATATTAGAAGAATACAACATACTCAGTGGTCTGCACTAGTCTTAAATCATTTACATAATCACAGAAAATATAAGCTAGAATAAGACATTAAATAAAATGCACTAATATTAATTGTAACCTATCAATCTTACATAAACAGTCCAGTAGAGGGCTGTAGTGAGCCTGCAGCCTATCCCAGAAAACACAAGGCACCCTGGGTCGCATGCTGTTCCATCACAGGGCCCACACTATGGCTAATGTAAAAACTCTAGCTTGTGTGTTTTTCATGGGGATACCAGTGTACCCAGAAGAAACCCACCCAAACATAGAGGAAACACACAGACTCCATACAGACCCAGAAACGAGAACCAGACCTGCAGCCCTGTAGGTGTGAAGCTATAGGACACCCAAAGGGCAGCCTTTGTTAAACCCCACCTCAAAATGCAAATGAACCAGCTCCTGCTCTAGCCAATGTCTTTCAGCCATTATGAGTACAACAGTGACATCTAGAGGTCAGTCGAGGAAGAGGCTTCATACCTTTAAACATTGGAAACAGTTTTTAGCTGCTTGTCCAAAGCCAACATTAAATACTCCACAAAGATAATCCTCCAAAATGCTCAATTCAGTGCAATTTATTTTTATATAGCACATTTGGCAACAAAGTCTCCGCAGGGTGTTTGACAAGGGTGTGAAGTCTGCCTTTATATCATTTATACAGACGGAAAGAAAAAGCCAGAAAAAACAGAGGAGAGGAACCAAAAGCTCCCAAATAGGGAGGAAAAAATACCTCTGGGGCTCCAAAGCAGACTGGCTGCCCAACTCCAACATGTTGTCTGTATGATTTTTTTTCCAATATGAAATGCCAGAAAATACGTACTTATAAATCTGGAATATCTGCATAGAATGTAGCATCCTCGTCATGTCTCAGAAAACATTTTAGTGTGTTATACTCTATAACAATATATGTGACTTACTGTAACTGGTAAGGCATAAAACATACATGTCAATCCTTTCTGCAGCTTGGACAATGTCATAAACAGCACCAACTGCTATAAGTACTTAAAAATGCAACAAAAGAATTTGCATTGTCAGGTACAGACTCAGTGGGAATACTTTCTGGTATGTTCTATACCATATTAATAGAAACAAAATGTCACACGTTACTGATACATCTGGCCAGTAACCCTGCATTCCCTTCCGACGTCTTTCCAAATGTCACAGAACCAAAAGGCTGGGTACACTTTCCGTGGTGTGGTTTTTAAAAAGACAAAATTTGACAATTATATTTTAATTTGATAATTTATTAATATATATAATATATTTAATTTTATATTTTAGTTACAAAATGGTTGTGTTTCTTTAAAAGTGAGTGGGCTGAGAGCTGTCATTGGGAAAGAAGAAAGATTACTTCAAATAACAGACTGCCCACTAAAGTTAGTTACCTTTGCTCAGTATCTACAGATGTTCCTCATGCTCTACAACCTACAACCACAACAAGACAAAAAAATATATATATGTGTATATATCAGAGACAGTATATATATATATATGTGTGTGTGTGTAGGTTCACATATTTATAATACACACACACACACACAGTATGTATTGCTGAAATGATGCTTAAGGAGCATCTTGAAATGAATGTGCACCATAGTTTGCTCCAGCAGTCCTGGCTCAGCAGTAGCTGTGGGTTGGCTGGGCCTTTAGCTGCAGTAACCCGGCCCATACATCAGCGCCACAGTGCGATGCTGCCGCTGCTGCTGCCGCCGTTCTTGGCCGGAGGATTCCAGCATGATGCCCTCTTCTGCTCCTGGGGAGCAGCCCTGCCCAGCTGCCACTGTCTGACAGCTCCGTAATCAATCTCTTTACAAGTGTAGCTGCTGAGCCGAGCTGGTTTCCCACTGCCGGGCACGGTTGGCAAGAGGGTGGCCAGCTCTGCCTGGCAGGAGTTCACCCACCCAGTCCCCTTAGGACTGATGAGGAGCAGTTAAAGGAGTGGAAAAGCATGATGAACCAGAAATTTGGCTCAGCGACGCGGCATGTGTCGCCGTGCATGAAATCTATGTTAGGTGCTCATTCGGACTATTTCTTATTATGAGCTACAGAAACAGCTAAGCAGTAAAAAATTACGTACAAAAACTAACTGCGTGCCACGTTGCTTTTCTCTTTCATTTTTTTTAGGACGACTTTCTGATTGAAACTCAGAAAAATCTTCTCTGCAAAATCTCTGAACGCTTGAAAAATAATGCTACGACGAATGGAACCAAGTCATCGCAGCAAAATCATCCGGCCTGCTACATTAACCCAACAGCCCCGGAGTTAAGCTACCCGCCCGCCTCTCCAGGGTCGAGCGATCGGTCCAGCGACGAAAGCCCAACACCCCCAGAATTAATGCATCCACCCAGCCACATCGGCGACGTTACCATAGAACCCGCATATTTAATCCATCCATCTATCCACAACAGCCCAGCATCTACGGAATTAAGCCACTCAGATACATCAAGCATGTGGCCCACACACATTACCCAAGCCCATCTTCCTCAGAACTGAATAAGCCACCTAACTATGCTGACAACATTATCCCAGAATGCAGTGGCCCTCCAGTCTACAATACCCGTGATACGTCAGTTCCTGAATATCCAACTTACCTTCCAAACAACTTCATCTTTCTCAGCCTATCTCCATCTTTCAGATCCTACCAAATCTGCCCCCCCCCCCCCCACTACCAGAAATTTCAACATATTCTCCTTGATCCAGCCTCTCAGCTTCACCCATGCAATGACGCATTTACGTATTCCCATCATATACCAGTTTAGGAATCACAACTTCAGTTGCAGGTAATAAATCTTGTTTCCTCTAAGATATCATTTCTAATAAGTAAAACTAAATGTAACATTACCCATTACCTGACACAAACCTTTTGGAAGGTTTCCTCATGCAAGGGTTTCCATGGGGTTTTACCTCCATGTCAGGGTCCTCACTGAGGGTCCTGCATGACACCCAGTATCACGTGAGGGTCCTGCGTGACACCCAGTACCACGTGAGGGTCCAGCGTGACACCCAGTATCACGTGAGGGTCCTGCGTGACACCCAGTATCACGTGACGGTCCTGCGTGACACCCAGTATCACGTGACAGTCCTGCATGACACCCAGTATCACGTGAGGATCCTGCCAGACACCCATGTGATGCACATCACAGGCAGGTGGGACAAAGCTTCCAGGTACCCAGCAGTTGAGCATCTGTGGACGACTTGCTTCTTCTGTCAGTACGATGCTACAGACAATCCGTTATGAGGTGTCGCCCGGCAGGACGCATTCCGCCCCTGGCTGGGCCTCACCCTGCTCCGTCTGTGGAAGGGATGTCCAGCCAGGCAGAAGATACAGTGCCAGGATCCTCCTCTGTGCTACAGCCAGAAGTTTTCACAAACCTAACCACACATTTATCACATAGCCTCCCCACAGTGAGGAAGCCTGACAGTCAGAAGCTTTAAATGGAAAATAATAAGAACATTAATGATCAATTCATATGGTCCATTTTATTTTAAACTCAGATGAGAGTCAAACACATTTGAAAAAAAATACTCTTTTTTTTGTCTGATTAAACCTGAAAAATGTGAATCATTAAAAGAAATTGTGTCTGTTGAAGTGAGAATATACAAATATCATGATTTCATTAAGACGATTACTGGTGTAAGAGCAGGTGGATTAAAGTGCATTTTAAAATTGATCTTCTAATTCTGTCAGCAGTTTAAATTTTGAAGTAAGTCTGCCATCTAGTGTCAGAATCCATATCCTGAGAGAAGAGCCTAAATTGCAATGGGACTAGTCTAAAGGGTTTTCTGAGGTGGTAAAAAAAAAAAAGAATACATAATATAAAAACAAAATCAAAATCTACATTATTCATGAACCCAATTTTTCTCTCAATAATTTTCATGACGACATTTTGTCATGTCAAGCAATACAAGATTATTCTATCCCAACATGTGTATTTGTTGACAGGATCTTAACTGAGAAAACGAAAAAGCCTATTCTTTATATATTAGCTTAACTATTAGCTTGTGTTCTGAATCTTAAATGAAGAAATAATTATAATTATATTATAAATATAACAAATCTGAAAAACAGCCTGACAACCATACTAACCATAAGTACATTATAATAGATAATTGACGAACAGATTATTTTAGCACTATACTGCACTAAATGTTAAATGTTAAACAGCAAAAACAGGCATTTACCAACACAAAAAACATATTAAGACTTATGTACTTTGCCGTTATTATAATAGTAAATAATAACAATAATAATTTAAAAAAAGGTTTCAATTTCATGTTATGTACAGAAATTACGTATAACCATCAGTCATTGTAGGTAGACCAGATGAAGACAGAGCAAATGGTGCAAGACTGTGTACAGATAGACCGGGTACAGATGTACCAGGCAAAGGAAGATGTCAGATGGCCATGGCCAGTTCCAGCCCGTTTGGTGAATTGCATGCCAGGTGTCCCGCCTAGGTGGACTAAGGAAGCCCTAAAGGGCCACAATTGTGTGTTGACGGCACAGCAGCAGCAAATGAAGTTAATGCAGCCTGCTGTACACCCTTGTTAACTGCAATTATTGCAGATTAGCTTTTAACTTGTTCTAAATTGAGAATGTCTCAGTGCTGGATTGAATTTTGATTGTAATTCAGAACTAGAAACTTCTGAATTACTTTTACAGTTTTTTTTTTTTTTTTGCTTCAGCCTCTCACTGCCTTACTTGGACTGTATAGGTTCTGTGCACCTTTTTAGTTCAACAGGGAATGAGATTTCCATGTAATCTGTAACATTTTTCTGAACAAACAGATTAAACACCATAAACTGCTATGATTTTTATTATATTCTTAAATGGCAGGTCAATCAACTTGAGGATTGTTCCTGAAGATATATTCAGCCTGAAACAAAACAAAGATTTACATAATTGTTATTTTTTTAGAATGCAATATATGTGCCCTTTGTGTCAGGAATGCTCTCTGGTTACTGTTTTTTTTTTCTTAATATGTATAATTCATGTGAACTATCCAAGGGTTTACATACCAAGAAGTCCACTGGATCATCAGGTTTGAGGGCACAGCACTGGATTAGTCCCTGGGTGAGTGTTGGCATCACATTCCTCATCAGATAGTTCCTCAGGGGGATGGACTGGACCTCCAGCAGCTCCCACTCCTGCTGCTTTACCTCCGCTAGGTGTGCACTCTAAGACGACGACATCGGTCAGGGCATTTACATTTCATTCCTTTAGCAGATGCTTTGATCCAAAACGACATGCATTTCTGAGGAGCAATGAGGGCCTTGCTTAAAGGTCCAATCACTGTGCCGCTCCTGGGCTTTGAACTGTCAGATTTTTGATCTGAGAAACAGCATCCTAGCCCACTAAACCGCACACCGGGGGGGGGCATATAATGGTAACACAGATCAAGCTCTAAGATGAAGACACGGCACAGCGCAGGCAGAGCTGCGACCATCCTGCGTCGCTCAGGCACTGAGAACACAGGACAACATTGTTTCCAAAAACAGCTCAAGAGACAGAAGTTTACTGTGCTGCCTTAGAAAAAAAAACAAACCCTGCAATCTGATATTACAAGCAAATAGAAGCGTGAGGCTGCAACCAGCACAAAGGAGACTAAGGTCTCTCCATGCTAACGCTGGCATTCGGCTTCGAAAGCAGATTATTCTGCATGACCGAATGTGGCTGGATCAAACAGGCTCACCCACTCCTTCCAGCGGGCCTCCCTCTCAGCTTCCTCCTCCGCCTCTCTGCGCTGCTTCTCAGCTGCCTCAGCTTCCACACTCCTAAGATGCTCCTCAGCTGCCCTTTGCTCCAGCAGCTTTCGCTCCTCTGGACTGGGCCCATAGTTTCTGGGTTTCCCCAGAGCCGAACCTATCTTCTCCATCACTGCCATATGCTCCACGTCATCACTGCTGGAGATTTCTAAATAAATAAATAAAGAAAGAAAGAAAGAAGTAGTAAAGGCCAAATGAAGTTCCATGAACCGTTTGCTGCATTCTTTTGACACCACTAGATGGTGCTCTTGGTTTGCTTTGGGGCATAGCTAACGCTATAATAAAGAAAGTGACATCTACTGTTATAATCATACAGAGTTGGGTAAAACATCATTACAGGCCAGTGCCCTCAGCCTAATATCACATGCTATGTCTGCAGTACCAATGTGCTCAGGGTGAATCTCCAGTTCATCAAAGTAGTTAAGCACTGTTTCATCCTCCGTGTTGATGTCCCTATAAGATGCTAGATGCTGAAGGAACCTCTCCTGAGCGTAGTGGGTTCCCTGGACTACGCTCTCTGGCAAATTCAGCACACGACTAGTCAGGAATGCATCGCTGGCTTCCAAGCAGAAAACATACTCTGTGATAAAGGAAAGAAGAAAACTCACACACCAGAACAACTATACCAACTAGTACTCAACTGCCATTTACCAACAGCATGGGCAAAGGCCAGAGTTGGGATTTTTGAAACGTAAAACCCCTATTAAAAATGCAATAAGCCATGTAACTATTTTGATTACTTCAAAGTATTGTAAGTTAATGCATTTGATTACTTTTTGATTACTTTTCTAACAAATGTTTTAAACTGGGCAATAAAGCTGAAAAATCCCAACAGCTTTGCTGACCCGTGTTATCTGGAAATATGGTAAAAGGCGGCATTTCTGCACAGTGAAGATGCAAAGCGAATGTTACATTCAACATATGACCTTTTTACCAAAAAGGATGTGTTCAGATGTAACCCCCATGTAATCATCAACATTTTCATTAGTAACGGTCATTTGATTACATTGTTTTTCTCAGTAACTGTAACCTATTACATTTATTTTTATTATCTAACACCGGTACATGTAACTAGCTACACTGGCAGTGAGATTTTTATTACTCTTGTAAATATATGTTTCTGTCTCAAAGCTTTTAAAACCACTTCTACGCACACTTCTGACAAACCTGGGACGATTTTATTGTCGATTGGTGGCATTTTAGATCCAGAAACATCAGACTCATCTTCCTCGGCTCATGTGAAGGAAAGGAAACACACCCGTTATCAGAAGAGAATCGATACTTGAAGTGCCGACAGAAATGGAAAATTGCATGACATTTACCACTAAACAGTTCCTTGGCCTGCTCATATGTTTTAGGAAAACCGTCCAAAACAAATCCTTGGTTTCTGCATGGTTTTGACTTCAGTTTTTGTTTCACAATATGTATAACAAACTGGTCATCCAGGCGACCTAAAAAACACAAGATAGTAACAATCAATGTCTCCCTAGACAGTGAAACACCCACATGTTAACATAACATCACCTAACATGCCATATTAATACCAACTCCAAAGCTGTCTATGATCTTTTCGTCAGCCTGTGTTGTCTGCGTGTGCTGAAAAGCTTCCAGGCAGAATTCTGCTATATACCTCCATTTTTATCCATGTTCTCTTTCAGCATCTCCAAAGACCTCTGAGCATCTTCACGATCACCGTCTCCATCTTCCAATGCAACTTGTTTCTCCTGAAATTAACCCAGACTTTACATAGTATTTCACAGAATCTTGAACAACAAAACACTTGCATGCTGTTGGTACAAGTTAGTGGCACTTATTCCAAATGTTTACACTGTAAAAGACACACTGACCAACTGGGCAATACAGTCAGTTATGGCATCTTTGAGCTTGACGTGATGCAGTTTGTACTGCCTGCAGATCCTCTCAGCCACACTACTCTTCCCCACAGCCGGAGGGCCCAAAATGCCGACTCGAACAGGCTGGAAATAATTTCATAACAAGGACCGATGACATCATCACCACTCACAAAACATTATTTTGCTGTTTGAACACATATTGTGCCACACTTTCAATGGTGCCAAAATTTACCCCAAGCTCAGTTCCACGTTTTATGCATAGCAGATTATTTATTAAAAAAAATTATTTACTGCAAATTTGAAAAGCTCATGAAAAATCTTTCAGGATGAGAACCTTTCAACAGGAACATTTACAGTACCAGTAACCCTCTGGCTTGTTTGTATTCCTCCACAATGCCATCAATGTTCTCAATAATTCCAAATTTTGACACCCAATGAAGATTAAAGTTCTCCTTCAAAAAGGCGGCCTCCATGTGCAGGTTGACAAAGAGAGAATCAATGTCTTTTTGCTGAAAAAGCAGAACAAACCGTTTATTTTTGTGATGTATTCTGGGATAGTTTCCTTAAACGGTTTCAAACACTTAAATCAATGAAGCCCTTATGTATGAGCAAGTACAATGTCATTTGTAATTTCAAAAGCAGAAAATGGAGCCAAATCTGGAAACCTGATATATGAACACTTTTACACACCGTCAGATCATCTGTGAGGAAAATATCTTCTTTTGGTAACCTTGCTATTTTTCCAGGCCCAAGTTCTGCACTTATTGCCTGAGTAGCATATAAAAAAGACACATTTTATTAAAGTAATTTCAAGCAGGATCACATTTAACACAAATTACTTCACTAACTGATAGACTTAACCTTCACAATATCTTCCAATGAATTCTTGGATTCATCCACAGCAATTAAGTAATGTGTCCTTGGCTTGTGGTCAATGACATTTTGGATCACACTGCATATAAAAAAGCAAGACAAATTTCTTAAGTAGTTTGATCATCAGAATTCAAGTTCCTCCTTTTATGGTACTATATTTAGATAATGGATCTCTTCATTTGCGCAGCATATATAATGAGTATATATGACAAACCCTGCTAGGTCATTCACGTGAATTGTAGGAAGAATGTTGTTGCCTAGTCCAAACACAGGGATTCTCGAAGCTTCTCCCAACCAACACATCTACAAAAACAATGTACTGTTAAATTACAAAACACCATAATAAAAATTTAAATCCTGTAATGAATGTGATCACACGTTGCCAAAACATTAGTCATGGGCTCCATTTCAGTGAAATTTGCCTGTTTACACCAATGAGTAAATTCAATTTTGCATTCTGCAAGTTACTGAATTTTGCAGGACTTCATCTGTCAACAGAAACACTTTTCTTTTGAGATTAGACTGCTAGTATTGAATCCTTATCTGACAAAATACGATCACGGTTCACATATAATGCATATTCATTTTAAGGTAACATCATTCAGAAAATGCAATCCCATACATACAGTACATATGGGTTATGCTGTACCTTAAAAAAGTAGTGAAATATATCTTCTTCCATTCCATATTGAAGTCCTGATGCCACAACATAGGTAGAAAACCTAGATTTTTTCTGAAAGGAAATAGTTTTACTGAAGTGGTATTGTGCCATGCATCCACTGAAGCCCATCCAGTCCTACTGGAAGTAAGGAGTAACTATGGCAGAGCGCATATAACACAAACAGTGGGCTCCATAATTATTGGCACCCCTGACTGTAAAAGCACTAAAAATACCGTTAAAAAATTATAGCATGTGGGGTTACACTCAAAATGCAAAGATGTGGAAAAATATCATAGTTTATTAATGTGGTGTTTTTTGAAACCTGGTGACCCCAAAATACCACTAAGGCCTGTGATTCTTTCATGGTGACTTTTGGGGATCTTCTTGCTTCTTTCACTGTCCTCCTCTCTATCATGGGGGGCAAAATTCATTCACATCCTCTACCTGCCAGATTTTCAACCATTCCACATTCAATAACTGCCCTGACAGCGCGGCGGTATAACTTTGTTGATATTCTTTTAGCCGTCACTAGATTAATGAAGGTCTACATACATCTGTCTCTTACGAAATGTGGGTTCTTTTGTTTTCATTATGGCACTGGATGACAAAGGGATCTCATATGTGCGTTACCTTATTTTTAAACCCTAATGAAACAGAAAGTCAATGTCATAAGTTCTGTAAAACTTAGATGAAGTTAAATAAGGTCAATTTCATTTAAATCTGGTAGATTTTATGTATGATCTTAATCTTTACAGGCTGCAATAATTGTGAAACCTTTATTTGTAGGAAATTGATTCTTAATTAAGTTAAGAAATGAAATTGGTTGATTCCATTGAAATATTAATAAACCGTGATATTTTTCATATCTTGGCATTTTGAGTTAATCTCTAAGGTTATTATTTATTTTTTATGGTATTTTAGTGCATTTCAAGTCAGAGGTGCCAATACTTCCACCGTACACACACTTCATTTCAGGCCAACAACATTGAATCTGATGATAAAGTAAAACAATATCTAGAATGTTTGATTGATTAAAAATACACAGAGTTGGGTAATTCAGGTCCAGAGAGTAAAAGTTCAGACCAAGATTTTGTTTCAACCAACCATTTCAGTCACAGTTATAGAGTATTCAACTGGTTGGTTGAAACAAAATCCCAGTCTGGACTTATACTCTCAAAACCTGAATTACCCAACTCTGAAAACACATAATATTTGAGGCTTCTGAGAATCAAGGAGGGTTGTATCTTAATTCTCATCTGTGAGTGATAGGCCTAATGATTCTACACAAATCTTCGCTCTTAAATTAGTTTGGATTAAGGTACCGTTTTCCCCATTTTAATGACGAGTTTCTCAGCGCTGATATGATCTTTAAAGTTGGGGTGGGATCTTCTCCTACGATAGTCATCCTCGGTGAAAGCAGCCTCTGGATCATCCTACAATGAAGATGCACGGTCATACTGCACATTGACCTTCACACAGTGTTCATCACTAACCATGCGGCACTTGGGAGGGTTAGAAAAAAGCTAGATAAACATAGTTATCTACTTGCAAAATGTTTAAGTAATAAAAATCACAATAGGATCACTGACGTTTTTCCTTTTTAAGTGACCTTTTAAAAATATTTGAATACATAACTGTATGTTGTTTTTCAATATTTGCAATTATTTCATTATCAGTTACCTACCTGACAGTTCAAAACCCTGAAACAAACTTAAAGATTTTGTAGTTTTGCATTCAAGACTTATCAATGGGAATGGTTGAAATGACAAAAATAATAATTTGTTATTCCCTTCATTAAAATGATTAAATAAAACATTCAGACAATAAGGATTGTTTATCAAATAGATCATTTACTGTGACATAAAACCGTATGAACGCTACAAGTCAGTCCAGACACGACTTCTCTGCTTTTTCTAATTACATGTATCTAATCATCTGGACGGAACTGGTTAACATTAAACAACACTGACAGACACTTACTGGATCGACTGGCTTGCTGAGGGCCCAGGTTAGCACAGTTGATATCAGAATGAATATCTTTGGACGACTGAAATTGTCCAATTCTGCATGGAGGGCTGAAAATATAATCAGCTTGTTCGTTAAAGATATTTTGTTGTTCTGTCAACAAAATCAATAATCAGGGTCAAGCAGGACGGTGACACAAAGTCACTGGCCATTACCTGAAACTGCCCAAATGGCTTCATGAATTTGATCGGCGTTTCCGTAAATGTTGTAAATAACAACATCACACTCCATCAATCGCGCAAGGAGGACTTCCCGGTCTGAAGCCTGCAAAATTAATAACCAACGAGTCACAGCGATGCTGGGATAAAAACGGCTAAAGCGTCAATGCGTGTTTTCATCCTTGCACTCACAGAGTATTCTTCGGCCGCAAAAGTGGCCCCTTTCTGCGCTGTCGGCTTGGTAACAGTCCCGACGACTCGGAAAGTGTGCGATTGCCGGAGCTCCTCTTCATCCCCCGAATCTGCTGCCTCCAGCGAAGCTCCAACAAGACGGTCGGAGAGAAACTAGACATGAGAGACGGGAACTTCACTCCAACGGTGCACCTCAGGCGGGACGCGTTTCAGATGAGAGCAACACGGTAACAGTTTCATGTAACATTTTATTGCATCGCTATCCGGTGTTCACTACTATCAGTAGGTGGTGTGAAACTCCAAAGCAAACATCTCTGCTACTGAAATAGATTTAGCTGTAAGAGATTAACATACGCACATGCGTATCAGATTAATAACAGCTGGAATCAGGCTCGACTACGTTTGTCCGTCTTGCAGAACTACATATGAAAACACCGGGACAGTAAATATTACCTTCCCAATGTACTTTGAAGAAAAGAGGTCGATGAGGTTTATGAAAACGCGGACTTCGCCGCAATGATTGTTTCCCGTCTTTCCGTCCGCCATGCTGTATGATAGCCTACCACCGTTGCTAGGGAACCGGACGCCAAGGCGACGCAGTTAACAGGCTCTCAAAAGGGAAACATGCTACAAACCACCAGGGATTTTGCACACTAAGTGTTATTGTAACCGTTTGCAAGGAAACTATTCAAAATAAAGACGAACACAACTTCCTGCTGGAGACTGATGCACCTTTTACTTGCGCAATTCACAGATTGACAGAACTATATATTAGAAAAATCTGGGAAAAGAACAATATATCATCTATATATTACAAAAACTATTTTTTTTTGTAGTTCAAGCCCCGAGGGGCTTTAACACTAACATCTATTACTATATATCACTATACGGTGCAACGTGGTACATTATGCCGTTTGACTTGGCAAAATGACAGCCTTACCAATTTTAGAGCCAACTGCTTTCAGGCATTCAGTCATTTAACTTAACATTCACATATTAGTCAGTTTTTAGATTCTGATCTGTACTCTGCGACCAGTGTGTAAAACGAACGTTTCATCGAGCATCACATTATATACACACACAGCACAGCAACGAAACAAAGCGGTTGTACATACGTTTCTAATGTGTGCAAACTGAACGGAAAACTAAAGCAGGAAAGGTGGTATTTCTTCTTCTAAAAATGTGCTTAGTGGATGATTGTTTTACGCGCAAATTGTTCATTATACTTTGAAATTTAAATGTTGTAAATGTAGTGTGACCATGCAACTCATACTCGTATATAAATGTATGTACCGTTTTAAATCCCTCAAAGTAGGCTACACCTTGTCCGTATATTTGGTAAGGTGAACAATAAGGGTATTTATTTCTGTTTATAAAAAAGTGTTTGTCATTTTAAACGGTGTTTCGACAACGCAACATACCATTACGTAATTCTGTATTTGACCTTACTCCACACCTGACTGCGCTTCTTATCCGTATCCAGGGGAGGGCGCCATTTTTCATACCATATAGACGAAATTTCACACAGAGCTTCCAATGTTTTTTTTAGCGCAACAGATTTCACGTTTTATTTACCATCAGATGCTTGTAGTAGCCTACTACATGTTCATTTCTTTGTGACAGAGTAGTTTAGAGAAAACCATCTTTCTCCGTATACTACTTATATAAGGGAACATTCCAAGCATACATGCATACATCTTTCAGCCGCTTATCCAGTACAGCGTCGCGGGGGGATCCAGCACACTGTGGGCGAGCGGGATATTTAGGAACGCCAATTCACCAACATGCACTTAGAGTTGTAGGAGGAAATCTGGAGGAGTTCAAGGTTTTTACTCTACCCTTAATTATGTAACGCAAGGCTCTTCAGATATGAATGAAACACTTATAGCGGGCAGTACAGGAGTTGCCCCAAAGGTTGTAAAATCTCTGTCTCTGTCACACATAGCCATTCACACAGCTAAGAGAAACATACAGTACAGCTTCCCCAGCCTGGCAGACATTTTTCACTTATTTTAATCCAAAATAATTTTTGAGTACATTCGTAGTAAATGCTTTATTGAAGGGTGCATCGAGCACAATGATTCATGCTTATTTTATAGGGCTCTCCTTATTCCTCTGTAGCTGCTGTTGCTCCATTTTGAGTCCTTTCCACTTATGACCTTGACTACTGTTTCCATAACAACTGCCTCAGCTCTAGAGAAGGCATGATTAGAATAGAAATATTTAGTGTGCACTATAAAGCTGGCAGTCATTATGAACCCAGCCAAGCCACTAGCAGTGCTGGATCCCACTCAAAATTATAGAGAAGCTGAGACTTTAATACAAATTAGGGCAAACAGAAGTTATTTGACGCTCAAAATCATTCATTGCAGCTTTTCTCAGTCCTGCTGGTGTCCTGCAGCACAGCAGCTGCTGGAAGGGACAACATTGTTTCTCTACACACTGAAACAGGTGAATCCCTTGTTGTTTGTGGCTATAATTTCTTGAACAAAAGCCCTGTCACACTTTTGCCAAATATCTGAGCACTTTATGGCAACTCAAACATTTGATTATTTTGGAAGCTTAAAAAAAAAATCTGCTATTAAACTGTTAGAAATATTCTTCTTTGGATACTTCCAAGGCAGCATGCATCCCCAGGATTGTTCCAGTATTTAGCAAACTCATAGAAAATGTAAAATATCGCGGCTCTGTAGTGAAATAGTGTGCAAAACAGACAGACAAAGACACTGTAGTCTCTAGAGTTTACAGAGTAGTGCAATAAACAAAAAACATACAGTCAGTCACACCTCTGTGGCCAAAAGACAACTTGTTAATGAAAGAGGTCAGAGGAGAATGGATACTTGTTACCAGGTAACAAAAGGGCCACAAGTGCAAAAATAACAGATCAGTACAGCAGTGATGTGTAGATAGGCTTCTCTGAACACATAACTTGTCTACCCTTGAAGTAGTTCAGTGGGTCCTACACAGTATTAACCAGGAATACCTAATAAAGTGGCCATTGAGCGTATGTGCACTTCGACACAGATTTCGCAGCCCCAATCAGGCATTCCACTGTTGCGTGTGCTTTCCTTCCAAAACTGGGAAATTATTTGTCGATTTGTACCATCTGAAGGGTTTTCTACCCTGAATTCTTTCACTTGTGCCTTACTTTAGGCAAAATTATTTATAAAATAAAAACTATTTATGAAATGGCGAAGAGCCATCTGACTCAAACCTATGTTACAATATTTAGCATTTTTGCGTCACTGTTTTGACCGGTATTCATTTCAGCTGTGAGCCAACAGCAGCGAGGGGCTGGGACTGAGTATGCACTCCTTTTTCCATGGTGATTGACCTCTTACACCGTGCCTACAGGTAACCCAGTTAGGGAAATGCAGGAATCCTGGTTGGAGTTATTAGACTGTTTTTAGCTTCAGCTGTGTGGGGGGTGAGCGGTTCAAACTTATAATTTTACTATCTGGTCACATGCCAGTTCAGAAACTGTGCAGTTATTGTAGCAGAATACCTCCAACCTTCCATTGTTTTCTAGTTCAATCTCTTAGCCAACTAGTCACATTGTATCTTAGTTTTGTATTCATATTCACAAATCCTTTCAGGATATTACCTGAGTTTATAACACTATATGCAGTAAATTCCTTCTGATGCCAATGTAAAGTTTACTTTCACAACCACAATATCTACAGCCCCAACACACCAGAGAACATTTATAGTCTTTCCTCAGTATAGACACAGAATAATTTATGCATCTCAGTCCTTTTTAAATCTCTTACACAGTCCTCTGAATTATAATAAAATTAGAGTCGTTAACAGGCAATTCGGTTGGCATAAGGTTTTTATGCTGCACCAATCAGAACCAAAGCAAACCCAGAACATTTTCCTCCCTGTCACCTACCCTACAAACCCCAGGATGTAGCCTCAGTCACCTTGAGATGCCATCCTCACTTACAGCACCCAATTCATCATTTTGATGTTTCTGCATGTACCACAGTGGTTCACCGTGGTTCACATGGTAAACACAGTCAGGAGTCACACCACTACCCCACACACACTCTCCCTCACCACCTCAGTGTCAACAGCAAGACACTTGAGAAAGCAAAGACGGGGTAACATGGACCATAACAAAGACCAGTTCAAATGGACACCTGAAGACCAAAGTAGGTCATATCACTTGGGAAATTCATAAGAAGAAGGGACAGGAATTTCACTTAGAGCCATAGTTCAGATTGAGGCCGTATAATAAATCTCCAATAACCCTGTCTGCCCTGAAGTGATCAGAGACACAGCTCCACTGCAAAGTAAGACACCACTGCAAGGAGCATCTGAATGCTGGAGACATCTTCTGGTTCTTTACCGCTGCAGCAATTCAGCAATTAAAACAAAGAACATACACATCTTACTGCATCAACCTATTGGTTCGACATTGCAGGTTGTGGACATGAACGAGTCCCTCCTGGTGAAACCGTCAGTAGACGACCCGAGATGGGAAAGCCTCATTGCAATTCTGCACCACACCACTGCGCTCGCTGGGCCAATGACATCATCTCTGACTGCAGTGGTGCCGCAGCAGAGACCTCAGGGACAGAGAACACAGACGGATCTCCGCCCTCCCTCCCTCGGAATAGCCAGTGCTAGAAAAGCAGACTATTTCCCTAAAATCACACATGGATGTTTCAGGCCAGCATCCTGAGAGGCATTTTCTTCGTGAGTGCTAAGAATTGTCAAGGTCTTCACACCAATGTGCAGAGCTGTAAAGAGTGAGGGCTTTCTTGTAACCACAGGAAAACGGTGTTTGACCAGCCTACACTGATATCTGTGGTTGGGTATAGGAAAGATTGCCAAACCAAGCCCTTCTCCCAGATACTAGTGCTGTGTGCAGTGAGGATAAAGTTCTTTCAGAAAAATCTTTCAGATCGATGTGTATTGTTGTTCTGAAATCTGGCGCCCATTACTGCAAATGATATTTACTTATTTGCATCTGTTTTGTCAGCTGTCTATGGACAAAGATACAGCTGCCGCTTTACCATTTTTATCCACTAGGTGATGCTAAAAAGTCCACATGTTAACAAATATTCACGGTCAAGTGAAACATCATATAAGGGAAAAAAAGCACTTTGAAGTAACTAAACCACAATTACTAATGCAGCTCTGTTGGTTATAATAGAGGCTCATCCCTTAGAACTTTGATATGTAAGTTTTCAAAGTGACTAACAGGGTTTCAAAGAGCCAAAAGAATCGATGCCCCAATTGCAGGTGTATCAGTCACAAAAGCTGCAAAATTAACTCATGTCAAGGAGAACAGTCTCAAAAATCATATGACAGCATGTGTTCAATACAGACAAACTGCAACTTTGGGAAAGGGGAATAGCGGCTACGATAAATGGACACTTACCAGGATGTAGCTAAATCTCACAACCATACGATCTCGAAGTTAACACAAAACTGAATTGACATTTCCGTGACCCATCTTCTACAAAAGCTGAATTTATGGCTGGGTCGCTGTTCAGAAACCATTCATATCCAAGGCTGGTGCACAAAGATGCATAATCTGCTCCAAAACCTGGAACCCCAACAGAAAAAACAGAAAAACGTTACATGGCAAGTCATTTCTCATCCCTCTTCATGCATCCAGACTGGCCTATATTTAGAGAAAGCCAAAGGATGCCACTCAGCAACAATGTTAGTCAGTATGAGGAGTCATCTCCTCATTAGGTCTGATGGTTGCTCTGAACCATCATATAGTGGCCAAAGAACATGACACCAGGTGCATCCTATGGTGTAGACAGTGCGCCCACAATGCCCCCATGCACACTGCTGAACAGAAGTACTTTCTGGAACACCAGGAGGAAGTCACGCATCCTCTGTGATCTCACCAATCACCAGACATGAAGAAGAGAACATTTATTCCAATTTAACAAGGTAACATTCATGCCAAAGAAAATATATTATTCCAAGTATTTAATTTTCCCTTCTATACACATACTGGCAAGATTAAGGTTTTACAGTAGGACGCTCTTCTTCAGGACCCGACGATTCCGTTACATACAGTCCCCTTAATGTTCTTTAGTACAGAACTGAACAAATCCTTCCACAAGTGTGTGCAAACCATGAAGTGATCATGAACCGAACACTAACACAAAAGTGAATGTGAGCTGAACATGAACTGAACATAATGTTATCTTCTGCACAACCTAAAGAAATTACCTCCCTTTTCTGACTCGCTAAAGAGCACTAATGCAACTAAGGCATTTAATACTCCAAATTTGTGACATGCCTGTGCATAGATAATGTAGAATTTTGGAAATAATAGAACCACAAATACTGGTAGCACTAAATCTCTGTGAGAAAAAAACAGAAATCCACTATGCTGTTTCTATAATAAGCTGATTTTCTCTTACATTTGAACAGCACGCATGCATAAAAAAGATCTGATAAAAATCATCAACTGCAGGCCTGCTTTTGGTAGCATTTTGCCCCATTGCCAGGCAGTCTTATTAATGCCTGAGCCAGGTCATGGTGTAGAGCTCTCTCTCAGTAACACAGGGTAGCTCTGCTCACCACATCTTTGCAAAAATTACACTTCGCAGCTGCCTTCGCTCAACAGAATGGGCACCAGCAGCAGTCAAGCAGTGCTTCATCAGAGAAGATCAGATGAATGCAGCAACACCCAAAAACAGCACGACAGACAGTCAGCAGGCACAGACCATCACTAACGCATTACCATTGTGCCTTTTAAATAGTAATCTGTTTGATCTCAGTCGGTGCAGGTGTGGTCTGTACATACTTTCCTCAGTTATTCGTATATTCTCTTTGCTTTGAAGGAGAATGTGTTTGGTTTGGATGGGGAGAGCTGGGCAGACACGGAACCTTCCAGAATAAAAGAAAAAGAAAAATCAATCAGTGCTTGGTTTTAGCACAGTCACATTAATTTGTTTTATTTCTGTTCTTTGTGCCTGTTTGCAGAGGGAAGCACCATCAAGCCGGTTTACTTCACTATAGCACTGCAGAAGATGCCATAATTGGCAGAGCTGTACGCCACCACTCACCATATGTATAGTTCCACAGCTAGAAAACAATTTGGTAAAAGTAATAATAGTTACAGGAAAATCACTGCAAATGTGTGATAACAGCAAAACCGTAACAGGGATCTTGCATGATGTCAGTGAATCAGAACCAAACACGTCGGGGGATGCCGGTGAGTCAGTAAAGGCGACTTCGGGCGATGCCGGTGAGTCAGTAACAAGGATCTCAGGCGATGCCGGTGAGTCAGTAACAAGGATCTCGGGCGATGCCGGTGAGTCAGTAACAAGGATCTCAGGCGATGCCGGTGAGTCAGTAACAAGGATCTCGGGCGATGCCGGTGAGTCAGGCACAA